TTGAATATTCTATTTGTGCTATATATAACAATAATTTATCGGAGGTTCAGTTATGAATTTTTTTTGTTATTTTTAGGAAAAAAAGAATGAATTTTTGATAAATTGAATGAAAGTGTTTGGAGAAAAACAGCTCTTTCTTTAAACACAAAAAAATGGAAACAATAAAATTCTCAGAAGGATTTGTTAAGAATAGTAACTCTAAGATTAAAGAGTTTTTTTTTTGAAGAAACAAAAAGCCATATAACCGAGTATTTTCTTTCAACATATAAAAATTTTAAAAAAGACTCAAAACAAAAAAAGCTTAAAATGAATTTAATAAGAATAATCGACAGCCAATAAAAGGAAGACTGGAATAACTAATTCAAATTCAACCAATGAACCAAGAACAAAAAAAATCAAATTATTTTAAGAATGACTATCAATAAAATCGACAAATAAAATGAGAGAAATTGAAGAAGATTTTATCAAAAATAAGTCGATAAAGTTCTATTAATTTTATTCTTTTTTTGGATGCAATAAATATAAAATAACATGGCATAATCACAAAGCATTTTTGTTGTTAGTACTACTTCATTGTCTTATGATTTTCGGGAATCTCAAATTTTCCAATCTATTTTTTGGATGAGAAAGTCTATGAAACTGCCACGCTTAAGTCCAACTCCTCCATTCTCTCTTACTAGTTCAATGAATAGTATTAGTCTACCTTCATCAACTACCCTACAACTAACACCAGGTTTAACAAGTCCTTATGAACTTAGTCCAATAAACAGTTTTTCATGTTCAGATTCTCCGAACAATTTAAATGAAATAACAAATTCACCACTTACTGTTACTTCATGTCCATTAAATGAATCACCACGCTTTTTTATTAGACGTTCTGGTTCTCATACAAGAAAACTTAAAAGAAGAAGTACTGAACCAATGAAGTCAAGTGTTTCATTAGAATTTACAAACAGGGTTGGGGCTGAATGTGAACAATTATATCCAAAAAATCCAAAAATTAAGCAAATTAGTTTAATATCAATTGAACAATATAAAGATTTAATTAATTCTAATTCACAAAGAGTTATTACTATTGATTCCAGATATCCATATGAATATAATGCAGGTCATATTATTAATTCTATTAATATATGGAATGATAATGAAATTTTTCAACAACTACATCCATTAGACGGATTAGATGATAATATTAAACCTATTCTTATTATTTATTGTGAATTTTCTCAAAAACGAGGACCACTTATTGCAAAAAAAATTAGAGAATTAGACTGGAGTCATATGGAGGAATCTAATAGTTTTAATTGGTTATTTCCTGAGATATATGTATTAGATGGTGGATTTAAAAATTTTTATAAAAGAAATAAAGAATTATGTTGTGGAGAATATGTAAAAATGGATGATACTCGATTTGTATATGAACACTCTTGTTATGCAAAACAGTTAAGATGTTGTTCTATCTCTAATAATTCTTTCTTGGATGGGGTTTCTCATCTTTCTCATTCTCAGTGATTGAACACTTTTATTCAACAATCATTTCAATTACTTTCAAAATGAAATTCAATTATTTGTATGTTTTTTTTTTCTATTATTTAACTAATGATCTAAATTATTCATTTTTTAGTTTGTTGAAATTAAAACATCAAAATTTTAATTCATCTCAATTTTTATTAAAAGTTTTCAAATTTCTATTAATAGATAAATAAGAAAATAAAAAATTAAAAATAGAAACTGACGAATGAAAACAAAAAAAAATTGGTTTGTAAAAAAAAAAATAAAAACAAAATAAAGTAAAGTGGAAAAACAAAAGTGAATTTAAAAAAAAGCCATATGCTATTCTGGTAGCATGTGGTGAAGAATACAATTATTCTTTGAAACTAAAGTAGTCTGAGTTTCAAAGAGAAGATCGTTCAAATACTTATTAATAGCTAGTCCAGATGACTGAATTGTTGAACGAGTAAAAAGAGTCATTCCTTTATACAAAACAGAATAAACCGATTCAGTTTTAAGAGTACCATTCTTTCCATCAGTAACTTTAGTTGAGAAAGAATATCCAAATTCTCGTAAAATATCAATGAGCAAATGATTGACTTCGGCAATTCTATTATTTTCACATCTTCGAGCCGCAGTTTTTGGTGCAACTCCTTGTGATATATCATATTGCTGAATTTCAGCTAACCTCCTATGAACAAATTCATCAACAGCAACAGTATCATTTCCACGTTTCAGATAATTAACAGTAATCATCTGTTGAGCAACAACTGACTTCTTCTTTGGTGCTGAAAGAGACAATGAAAAGTGACGGTTGATTAACGCAAGAAGAACTGCCTGTTGACTGACTTGATAATTTCGTGTTTGTTTAAAAAAAGTTGAAGTAGGAGGAGGTTTTGCGGTGTGTTGTTCCATCTGAAATTAAATTTTGATATTTTAAAGATAGGTTTTAAATAGACCTTATGGAATCAGACTTTTTAACATTTTTAGTTTATATCTCTTCTTTTTAATTCGATGAACAACATCTTCACCTCAACTTTTCTGTCTTTTCTTTTTTACTCCTTTATATTTTTATATCTTAAGTGATTTTTTCTTATTATTTGGTTTTTTTCTTGTTTAATTTTCCCGACTTTTTGGTTTTTATTTCCATTATTCCAAATTTGTATTTCTTTCTCTCTCTCCTTTTTTTTTATAATTTCTTCAGTTTTATTCTTTTTTTTTAAATTTTAATCCTGTTTTTTCTTCTCACTTATCACTATTTGTTTATTAATTTCTAATTTATTATTTGTATACTCCTATCCTAATTTATCTGTTTTATCTATGGTGTTGGTTCTTATTCATATTCGTTAAATAAAATGTTTTAATATTAGCTTAATACAAAGGACTAATTCATACCACTACTTCTCATCTTTTTATTTCTTTTAATTGAATCATTTTATTATTAATAATGTCCTAAGATTAATAAATAATCTCAACCCAATAATAAGGTACACTCAGTTTATGGTGAAGTACAACGAATAATATAACCAAAAGAAAAAAGATAAATAAAAGAAGACATCCCACAAATAATAACTGTATAACAGAGGGTATAAAAATAATGTACTTGACTTACTAAACAACTTCTTTTAAAAAAAAGTTAAGAATGAATAAAATATTCAATTCTTTTAAAAACACATTTACGTAGTTAAAAATACTTTGTGAAATTATTTACCTATAATTAAATTTCATTATTTTCTTGTTTTATTTTTATTTTGTTACTCTTTATTTCTCTTTTAATATAGTTTTATACTTTTATCATATCAACTAATGAACTTATATTATTTCTTTTTATTTTGTGTGTTTTATGTTAATTTTATTATAATAATACATATTTCATATAAACAGTTATTATAAAAACTTATAAAATAGTTGTGTTTATTTGTAATACCTAATCAAATTTATTTAAATATACTCTAAATATAAAGAATATTTCTTTTATTATTATAAATCTAATTTTAAATTGTTGAAATAGGAAATACAATTCATTAATTATTCATATCTTCTAAAACCAACTTTATTTTTAACAAATGAAGGTATTTCTATATGATGAGTATTAAATAAATATACCCCATTTTTTATTCCTCTTTATTTTATGTTAAAATGTAATTATTACTTTTTAAATGAAGTTTTTTGATTTATTAAATAAAGTAATCAAGTGTTTTGTTTATGGTATATTTATTCATACTTACTATTCATCTTATTTAAACATTTAATAAATCAAATTCAAAAAAACGAAATAATTATTAGTGAATATTTAATAACTTAAGATCAGTAACTCCAATATATTAATTTCGTCATCATCTACTAATAATATAATTTATTATTCATTTCATTTTTATTATTCTATTTTTATAAACAAAAAATAAAAAATGAAATATTCTAAAAATAAAATATAGAATAAGTCAAAAAATTAACAGAATAACTATGAAATAAACACTTAAAATGAGTTATTTAATGAGACATTGAAAATAAAAGAGTTAAAGTTAATGATATTAGTTAGAAAATCATTAGATTAACAGCGTTATGAAAAATAATTTTAATTAAGAGGCATAAAATGAGTTATTAGAATACTAACTCTGCATAAAAGAAATTAAGTAAATAAAAATGTTTCAAAAAGATAGAGTAGAAAATAAAGATATATACTTAAAACTATAAAAAACAATAAGAATTGAACAATTTTATAAAAATAATACTTATTTAAATATGAATAATAATGAATAAACACTAAACATTGAGTTAATAATACTTACTAATCAAAAAATTAATAAAATATCATAAAAGGTTAGTAAAACATTTTTAATGAAAATTATAATGAGTTGGTTCTATGAAAGAATTAGACAAAAAAAATACGATTCAAACTATATAAATTATTTTTGTATAATGAAATTAATAAATGAACTTGTATTTATTCATTATAATGCCTTTATGGAATCTTATTAATTACAATTAAATTATATTATTAACATTGTTTAGATTATATATTTAAATTTGAGTTAATGAAGAATATGACATAATTCATAAAATGAAGTTAATAATAAGAAATATATATTCAGAGAATGGTATAAATTTTAAAGAAGCAAAGGAGTTAAATACGAGAAAAAATGAAGAAAATATATGATATTTCTAAAAATATTTATGTAATTTTTAGACAAAGAATTGAAAAGAAAATAAAAAAAAAGAATTAGTTTTGGTTAATCAAGAAATGAAAAAAAGAGAAAAACTTAAAAAAAATATTAAAAACTCAATAGAAAGAAATGAGTGAAAATGTAATACACATTATTCTTCAAAAACTAAGAAGTACTCCACAAGGAGATATTATTGATGGAAATGATTTAAAGAAAATAAAAACATCACAAGAAGAAATTTTTGAAACAACATTATGTCATTTAAATGTTTTAAGAATTAGTGCACCAAATCCACCATATTCTAATGAAGAAATAGAAGTGGTCATGGAAAAGGTAAATGAATGTATTCAAGAATATACAAAAGAGAAAAAATCAGAAATGATTGAAATGATTGAAATTATTGAAAGTACAAAAATGATGTTATTATTAATTGACATTAATAAACAAAAAACGTTGCGTATTGTAGAAAGTCTCATTGAAAAAATTATCAAAGGAACAGCTAAAAATGAGTTTCCAGTCAAATATGAAATGGTTAAAAAAATAATTGAAGACCTTTTGACAGAATGTCCTGAAGAAAGTCGAGAAATAGTAAAAAGCATCATTAGACCTTTCAATGAAAATGATGCACCATTTCTTGAAGAAAAAAAAATAACACAATATCTTAAGAAAAGTAAAATGGAAAAAGAAGTCATTGAAGAAATGTTTGAAGGAATGATGGGAGAATCCAATAAAAACTTTAAAAATGGATTTTGGAGTTTAATTGAAGAGGCTAAAGAAATTAATGAAGAAGATGAAGCAATGAGTGAAGATGAAGAATTAGAAGATAGAAAAAAGAAAGAAGATATTAAAATGTTCATTCGTGTTTTAGGAAAAATAGTTAGTTATTACCCTAAATGGATTGAAGGTGATGAAAATTATCTTGAAAGAATTTTACTAATTCCAATGGAAGAAGAACGGATTCAAGTAGTTAAGATAGTTGTTGAATATTTAAAGAAAGGTGTTATAGAAAAAACTAAAAAAAATGAACTTATTGGATGTTTACTTGAAAGACGTAAAGATAAGAGTGTGAGTATTAGAAGTATTGTTGGAAAATATATGATGGAAAGAGGTGGAAAAAATGAAGAAAGTGAAGAAGATGGAATAGAAATAAGTGATTTAATTATTGAAAAAATGAATGATATTGAAGAAAGTATTCGAAGAGAAACAATTGAAGAAATTTACAAACAACGATTCGAAGAAGGAAAGGAAATAGGAAAGAAAATTATTAAAGAAATTAAAGAAAGAATGAAAGACAGAAAAGAAACAGTACGTGCTATTGCACAGACTTTTTGTGGAGAATATATAAGAGAATACATAGAACAAAAAAGTGGGTCAAACAAAGATTTTAGTAGTCAAATGATAAATGAAATGATTGAAAATATGGAAAATATTAAAAATGAAGAAGATAATATCAGAATTTATCAAATCATTAGCCAAAATATTTTAGGAAATATTACATTAACTATGGTTAATTCTAAAAGTAAACTTAAAGAAACTATCAAAGAGAGAGCAGAACGTTTAATTAAATTATTTGGACTTTTAGATGAAGAAAATTTCAAAAAAATGATGAAGAAAGAAGGTGTTAATGAAACAGAAAAGAAAGAACTTGGAAAGAAGTTAGAAGAATATGAAAACAGTAGGGAAGAAGGAAGAATTAAAGAAGTGGTTGTTAATATTTTAAGTAAGATGTATCCAATGCCAACAATTGAAACAAGTAAAAAATATGCCCGAGAAATGTTAGAAGGAATGAGTGGAAAGTTTGGACGAATGTTAAGAGATATGGAAGAAGATGAAACAAGTTTTAGTGAATATTGGAAAAAGGCTAAAAGAATTGATGGAGAAGTTGAGATAAAGAAGAAAGGAAAAATTGAAGAATTTGTAAATGGAATTCTCGAAAAAATTAGAAATAAAATTGTTCAAAAAGAAATGATTAAATACCTTATAAAAACTCATGAAGAAGAAATGAAAGAATATATGGAAATTATCAGTAAATATTGTAAAGAAGTGAATTATGGAAATATTATGAGAATTATTAAAATGTATGAAGATGATATTGAAAAAAAAGTAAATGTAATGAAAGAGGGATATTTGTATATTGAAAAAGAAGAAAAAAATGAAGAAATGAAAGAAGAAATTAAAGCATATTTAAAAATGAAAGAATATACTATTAGTAAAGGATGTATGAAATTACTACATTTATTGTGGAATGATCAAGAAGAAGGATATTATGATATGCTCTTTGAAGAAAATATAAAAAACGTATTAAAAAAGAAAGGTAAAAAAGCAATGAATGGATTATTAATTGTAACAAAAATTATTAAATATAAAAAGGAATATAACAGAAAAAAGGAAATCACTGAAATTAATGAACGAATTAAAAGTGAAATAATTCCAGGAATGATTATTGAAAAAGAACCTCCAGAACATATCATAATTGTTATGAAGTATATTGTTAAATATCTTCAAAGTAAAGGTAAAATTGTAGAGTCTGATAATGACGAAAGTGAGGAAAAGGAGATGATGAAGTTTATTAAAGATTTTATAATTCATAAAACAGATAATGACACAATTGAATTTAGAAAAAATGAAGAAGAAGTTCGTGGGTATTTGATTGGTGTTGTTTTAAAACTTGTTGAAATGAGAAAATATGATAGTTTAATTAACCAAAGAGAATTTTATAGTATTTGTGAAGAAATCTCAAAGAAAGAAACATTTTGTGGAGAGTACTTAGAAATTCTAAATAAATGTTTAAAACAACTTCCACTTAGATATTTCATCATTCCAACTATTCTTTCTAAAAACAATAAGGCTATAAGAATGAGTAAAATTGTTTTATTAAGAAGTATTCTTATCAGAAGAGAAATATATAAAAAGAATATTAAAGACATGACACAAGAAAAAACTTGTATTGTCCTCCCAGAATATTGTGTCCAACATCTTATTCACTTTTTAGGATATGGGGAGATGGTTGAAAATGGGGAATATGATGAAATTAGTAGAATGTTGACGTTTATGATCGAAAGTTTGGTTGAAGGAAATAATGAGGGAATTCCAATTATCCAAAACGAAATTAATTTAATTAAGTTATCTAATGATAATTTAAACAACAATTTAGGCATCACTGAAATTAACCAAGAAAGACTTAACGAAAAAATCCATGGAGTTGCTTTAATAGGGGGAATGGTTATAGATGAGGTGAGCAGAGGAAAAAAATATTCACCAAATCAGACTGTTGGGACAATATCAAAAATGCTTTTTGAGTTAAGAGAAAAGAACGAAAGCATAAATAGCATTTTACCATATGGCTATCATCTTCCTAAACGGGCAAATGCCATAATGACTGTAGGTGAGAAAAAAAAGAAGAAAGAAAACCAAGACATAGAAAAAGAGGTGAAACAAGTTAAAGAACAAAAGGAAAAAAAACCAAGAGCAAAAAAACAAAAAAAAGAAGTTAAAGAAATAAAAACTGTTAAAGAGAAATTTGTCAAGCAAGAACAAAAGAAAATAAA